ATGTAATGAATTTTACCAAACATACATGTACATTACATGTACAAATGTTTTTAAGATGGAATTAAAATCAATTTCCTGTGGAAGTTTCCAGGCATATTGATATTTGATGCACTGTTTATTTTGGAAAAAATAAAATACATGTACTTTATCATTGTAATCAATTCTAGATTTTTACCTATGTCAATGTTTTCCTTACTGACAATCATGACATCATTCTGGATTTTTATAAACCCTAGTAAACCTTTTAGTGCGGACTGAAATTATGGATGTACATTGTAAGCAACTATACATTTGTTAACCTGTTTATCATGGAGAGATGGAAGTCTGTTCTAGTGTCAAAAATACATATTAAGCATACCAGTATATCTATTTCATAGGATTTGTGAATTTAGTGACAACCAGTACCATTACCTTTGTACTGAATATTTTTACCACGTCTACATTTAGTGTAATTACTGAGCAAGGCTTTTCTTGTGGGTGCTTCAAGTTGTTTAGTAAGGAACAGTGCTACAAATTTGAAGTTATGGACAGTATAACCCAGTGTAATGACACGTATATACCATGATTGAGCGCTCTCACTAAGAGTAGTATAAAGGTTCTTTGTACAGCGAGAAGTTCATTTTTATGCATTATTCTAAGATTTGTAAACAGACAATCTACATGTTTATATGGTAAAATTGTTGAAGTATGTCACATTATTTCCTTAAAAAACTGTAAGCTTAATGTATTATTGAAGCATTGAATGACCTGTAAAAGGGCAATTAAAGCATTATACATTTTTTTCCAGGCATAAACAATCAGATTTATTAAACTTTTCCAGAAAACTGATAACTGCAAATTTTTGACAGGTGTTTAACCATCTGTACTGCCTACTGACAAGTCCAAATTGTTATTCATGTTTATTGACCGTAAAAGGACGAAACTCATAAGGCCTGACAGAATACCAAATTATTTTGTTATATCAAAATTTTGTGTGAACAGTAATTCGCCGTTTCAGAATCTGCATTCTGGGGAGTTTCATTGTTCGTACCCCAAAATGAAAACGACATCACGTCATTGGTTGAATTTCAATTGTTTTGAACGTTGCTAGCCAATCCCAGCGTGTTGGTGTACGCTTTTAAAAATATTGCCTAGAATTCATTAGATTCTGAAACGGCGAATTACAACACTGATCTATTTTTATAAAAAAAATTAACATTGCATACATTTTGTAGTACTCCTTTAGTGTTAATAAAATTATTTATACATCGTCTAGTATTAGGGCATTAAACACTTTAAAAGAGGGACGAAAGATACCAGAGGGACAGTCAAACTCATAGATCGAAAACAAACTGACAACGCCATGGCCAAAAATAAAAAGACAAACAGACAAATAATAGTACAGATGACACAACATAGAAAACTAAAGACTAAGCAACACGAACCCCACCTAAAACTGGGGGTGATCTCAGGTGCTCCGGAAGGGTAAGCAGATCCTGCTCCACATGTGGCACCCGTCGTGTTGCTTGTGTTATTACAAATCCGGTAAATAGTCTAATTTGGTAGGTCACATTCGTGAAAAGGGAAGGGTATTGTAGTTACGACATAAGTAACATATCCGATATCATCTGTGAAACGGTTATTCCATAACGGTCAACCAACTCGTGATGGCTTCCGTAAAATTTACGAAGGTATGATTTCAACTTCACCCTTTGGAACTCTTGGTTTAATAGCTTCCTTGTGAGCAGCAATCCTCTATCAAGGAAATCATGATAGGAAATACAAGCCCGGGAATATCGTATCAATTGGTAGATATATACTCCGTATGCAGGCGCTGCTGGAATGTTGTTACATAGAAATGAAAAGTTCACAATTGGGAAGCTGAAATCATCTCTTTTGTCGTAAAGTTTTGTTTTCAACTGACCCTAATTATCAATTTCTAGATGTAAGTCAAGATATGAGGCAGACTTAACTGTATCTGTAGTATCCTTTATTTCTAGTTCGATGGGATAGATTCGTTCAACATAGTCACCAAATTTTGTATTATTTAGTGAGAGAACATCATCTATATAGCGGAACGTAAAGTTAAAGGATATTGCTAACTTCCTAACATTCTGTGCAAGCAGATGCCTATTGTTGAAAGACACCAATGACCTTTATATATGTAGGACTCTAAAGTGCGATGGGGACGCTAAAACGCGATGGTCACGCTAAAGTGTGATGGCTCACGCTGAAGTGCGATGGTTTGATACACTAAAGTGCGATGGTATGTGCTATTTATTTGAACACGCTAAAGTGCGTTTTTCCGCAAAAGTTTCGACGTTAGCAACGTTAAACAGCATTATGACGAGAATGTTTGTCCAGATTAAGGGTTTTTATTACACAAGAAAAGAACGAAGAAAGAAAAAAATGATCACCGTGAATCTGGGACATTTTTGGTCGTTGCTGGAAGAGGTTAACTTAATTTGTAAAATTGTAAAAATAAATTTAATCAAAACTACTTGGGGTTCCAAAAAAGTCTTCTTTTTTACTTTCGAATTAAATAATTCTATTAAAAAAAATTCAATATGGTTTGTTATTTCTGTTGAATAATGAATATACGTCAACTAGACAGCAACCTAACGAACAGATGTGTTGTAGCATCATATGATTGCCAATACGACAACCCTGTAGCCAAACCCTTATGTCATTAATGTATTCAACTTTAGGTTATAGTATGACCTTTAACGCGGATCATAGTATTCTATTAAGACCAAAGGGCCTCAAAACAATCAATGTAAAACAATTCAAACGAGAAAAATAACAACCTGATTTAAATACAAAACAATAAACGAACAGCAAATATGAAATATACCAACAAACGACTACCACTAAGGGAACTACCATTTCATTTTTATGGATGCATTCTTTTTTAGTTGTAATTTCTGTCCTGCCTTCTTATTTTTCACTCTATTCGGTCCTGCCTTTTTTTTTATAATTGGTTTATCCTGACTTTTTTTTAACAGAAATTGTCATCCTGCCTTTCTTTACTCAAAACTCCTGGCCTGCCTTTTTTCAAATTCCATCCTAGCCCCCCTCCCCATAAAAATCAAATGGTAGCTCCCAAGAAGATGTAGTATGAACTATCCATCCAATCCCAAATGTCGTTCGTGTATGCAACTAATAATCATACGGCCTTCAACGTAAAGCCTTAGCCCATAACTCATAATAAGCTATATAGGGTTATACAATGACCAGTGTAAAACAATTCAAAAGAGAAAGACTACGGCTTGATATATAAATAAAACAATAAACGAAAAGGTAATAGGAACTCAGCAACAAACGAAAACCATTGTCTAAACCACATTCCCGTTTCACCATCGGACTTTAGCGTGTCATACCATCGTGTCATACCATCGGACTTTATCGTGTTATCTGATCGCACTTAAAAAAGAAAAACCATCGCACTTAAGCGTCTGACACCATCGCACTTTAGCGTAGACCATCGGACTTTAGCGTGACCATCGCACTTTAGAGTACCATCGGACTTTAGAGTCCTACATATATATGTCTCTTTGGTTTTTTACAATTCGCGTTATTTTTATATGTCTCTATGGTTCTTTACAATTCGCGATATTTCATATAAGTAAATTGTCAAATCTTACATACACAACGAGTGTGGAGGACATTTTTACTGGCTCATTTGCAGTGCCAAAAAAAAAGAAGAAAAAATGGGAAACAGATGGGATATGAATCCAGCATTTATATGTAGCCTTAAATGTAATTACCAAACCATATAATGTTCCACTTAAGGAAACTCATAGGAGTTATCGTATGTTATATCTTAATGTTTTCCTTATTTATAGAATCGTGTGTTGATGATGGCCTTATATTTGTTTGTTTGTTTTGAGGCCCTTTGGTCTTAATAGAATACTATGCGGTGTAAGCCAAATTGAATGGTACGTGTTAAAGGTCATACTATAACCTAAAGTTGCATACATTAATGACATTATGTCTTGGATAGAGAGTTGTCTTATTGGCAATCATATGATGCTACAACACATCTGTTAGGTTGCTGTCTAGTTGACGTATATTCATTATTCAACAGAAATAACAAACCATATTGTAATTTTTTTATAGAATTTTTAAATTAGAAAGTAAAAAAGAAGACTTTTTTTGGCACCCCAGCTGTTTTGATTAAATTTCTTTTTTTACAATTTTACAAATTAAGTTAACCTCTGCTATCAACGACCAAAAATGTTCCAGATTGTGATCATTGGTTTCTCTCATCTTTCTTCTCTTGTATAATAAAAACCCTTAATCTGGACAAACATTCTCGTCATAATGCTGTTTAACGATGCTAACGTCGATACTTTTGCGGAAAAACGCACTATAGCGTGTTCAAATGAATAGCACAGACCATCGCACTTTAGCGTATCAAACCATCGCACTTTAGCTTAGGCCATCGCACTTTAGCGTGACCATCGCGTTATAGCGTCCCCATCGCACTTTAGAGTCCTACATATATTAATTCAGCTCTATTTGTCCTTAGGTTATAAGTGTCGTCTAATTGCTGTCTTATTGACGTATATCCTACATCTTTGTTGTTCTTATAGGTAGTCATAAAATGTTTAATATGTATTTGTTATATTCTTATATGAATGTTCTGGGTACATATGTAGTCACAACGGATGAAAATGATGCATAGTTCTTGTTTAGGACCCCTTTAATATTTAGAACATAAACGATATTAAAAGATCTTAATTATGTGATAAGAGTTAGTTTAAGTATTTAAGCCATCGAGCAGCCTCGATTTCAACAATTGGACAGGGGCATGTTATGCAATCAAAGTTTTTTCATAATCAATATTCCTGCATACGGACACCCTTTTTTCCCACTTGATAATTGAATTTTGATTTGTATATGTAAAGGTTTATTTGGGTGCCTTAAAAAATAAATTAAGATTGCAGACATGTCCTAAATCTGAAAAAAAACTGCGGTCTGATATTTCTATGATTTTATAATTCATCAAAACAACTTACCTCATTCTATTAACTCTAATGTGTTGTTGTTAATCAAAAAATTCTAAACAAACCATGCAGTGGCAATGAAAAATGTATGGAAAGATTTTACCGTCCAAATTTATTTCTTGTCGTTTTACTTTTAACTGGTGGATTTATGTAAAGGGCCTCTTTCTTTGGAAATATTATCTAAAAATTACAAAAGTCATAATAAATATTAATGTCGGGTATTCAAGTGGAAAATGTCAGAACTATCTCAAAAATATTACCCATGCAATTCCCATGGAACATGCCTGTACAAACTTAACATTTATAACATTCGTTTGATTAATCGGTTTCCCTGTTTTTGTTGTTGAGAAATGCTGATTATTTTTTTTAAATAGTTTGTTCAGTATAATTGTTATTTCGTATGCTTTTCTTAATGAAACTTATTTACCAAAAAAATTTTCTTAGGGTATCCTAGTCCTCAATCTACAAGCTTTTAAAAACTGCTGTTAAAGTTATTAATCACGAGTACAGCTGATTAGATGTGTTTGTTAATGTTTTCGCAAATAACTCTACTGTTTTAAATGTATTTTTTATTCCTTTTAGCGTGACTGTCAATATTTTTTTTACAACGAACATTGCGTGTATATTGAATCATTTACACTGAACGGAATGATTGAAACGTTTGGCATGCCGTAGTTCTATAATTAAACCTATTTGGTCTTTCCCTAAAGTTCCTCTCTTATCAATGATCTACAATTACAATTGTACTCGTATTTAGCATCGCAGTGTTGAATGTGCACAAACATTCACCTATTATCTAGTTGGGACCTTTAAATATATTTTCAATCAATATTTAAAGCGTGAAATAATCTTTTTTGTTGTTGTGAAATGGTTTGTGTCTTTGACCTTTACGTTACAGTATTGGAAGAAACCACAATATATATTTCTATAAATATTATGTAGTTGCTATGCCTATTTGGAAATCATTAGTGTCTAATGTGTATGATATGGTTTAAAGCTTTTTATACACATAATCGTTCGTAGTTTCAACTTCAAGGATCTTATGCAAGCAACTTTAATGATCTTTAATAACCATGATTAAATTCAGATGTTTTTTTTTTTTGGTTTCCACTTTACATAGGGCTTTATCTCTGATCTCATTTCTTTGTGCAAAATTCTGAATCTAGGTATTTCACCTTTATCGATGTTAGGAGAACTTGTTTCGGACGATTCCATATACCGGCCTTTATATTTTAGGGGTTTTTAGATCCAGAGTCGAGTTAATGTTTAGTATTTAGTGTTGTTTGCGAGAAATAAATCATTTTTCAGACAAAATAACTTAATTCAAAACCATTATATATAGTTGACGTTTTGCGCGGGAAAGTCTTCCATTGACCTTCCATTGACCATTGCAATTAATTTGTTTCTAGATTGTTATTTGCTGTCATCTAATCTGTTCTGCTACAGCCATTGAAGTAGAACAGTATCAGCATTTGACGTCGGGTTTGTACACATTTAGACAGTCTTATTTCTTTGTGCAAAATTCTGAAACTACGTATTTCACCTTTATCGATGATAGGCGAACCTGTTTCGGACGATATCATATACCATTATATTTTAGAGGTTTTTAAATTCAGAGTCGAGTTAATGTATATTATTCAGTATTCGCGAAAATAAAAATCAGCAGCAAAAGCAAATCAATCTGTATCATTCATCAGACGAAATCTAAAAATTAACACAATATTAGTAGAGGAAAGAGCTTATCAAACTATAGTAACACCAAAATTAGAACATTGCTGCACAGTATGGGATCCACACACTTCAGAAAATATATACAGACTGGAACATAGCATAGAAGAGCTGCACGATATACTTTACTTGCAACAGCTATCACAATACCAACAGTTTATCTGAAATGATACAAAATCTAAACTGGCAAACATTTCAAGAACGCAGGTTAAAAACCAGACTCCAAATGTTCCGCAAAGTCATAGACAATGAAATTGCAATACCATCGCAAGATATACTCATAAAAAGCCAGTCTAAAACAAGATCTACCCATCAACAAGCATACAGACAACTTCAGTGTATCAAAGACACTTTAAAGACCAAATCAGTTAATTCTTGTATATAAATTAATTGAATTGACTGAAGTAGACATTTAAGCGTTTAAAAAATGTCAAAAATCTTTCGTTATAATTCAAATTTTAGGCCAAAATTAGTCCTTACCGGATCTTCTCCTTTGCTGCAATAATATTTATAAAAAAGTTAACACAAAAATAAAAAATTATTTTACTTCCCCAAACGAACCTCAGATTGTGAAAAGTAGTGGCGTGACATGAAATTGATATAGCACGAAATTATGCCTTTGTTACTATATTTAGTAGATTGAGGCGTGACACGAAATTGACATTCCACGACATGATCCCTTTGTTACTATATTTTAAATAAAAGTAGAAGAAGACAGCAGGAAGCGTTCTAGCTGAAGTACAAATTAGTTTTACAGCTTTACCTGTCTTCCTTGTTGGTGGTGTATGTGAACATTTACATTACTTTCTATTAATATCCGGCTTTTCTTTTGTGTAAATTCGTTAAGTTATTTCTTTAGAACTGAAGTAATTTTACAGATCATATTTACGATAAACAAGATTTTTTTAAGTTAACTTTAACAAAGACTCGTTAAAAATCATGACTCTTTTGTCGCTTTAAAAAAATATTACATCTTTAGATAAGATTTATACTTCCGCGGATTAACACAACTTCAAACTGTTTAGTGATGCTCAGTTTGTTCAGGGTGACGTTCAATTTGTTGATTTGTGTTTTAATGGATTTTTAAAAGGAAGGTACATCCCTCGTACATAGCTCTCATTCCTGCTTTTCTTTTGGTTTTATTAGCTCCTCGCATTTTTATTAGGCTATTTTCAAATTATCTTGGATTCGAGTATCACTGAAGAAACATTAACTGTATACATGCACATCTGGTGTAGTAAAACTGGCACCCTTTAATGATATAATAACATTTATGTTTATTATCGAAACTAGACTATAAGTCTTGGGACAGTTTGACCACTACATATTTCTTTTAGTAAACACATATTCACGAACGTTCAGGATAAAAACACGTCTATTGCGTTAGGTAGTCTATTATACCTTTGTAAAATTTTGTAAAACTGCAATTTTTTGTGTTTGGGATATTTCTGACTTTTATCTACATATATCTTGAAGTCTTTGTGCATGATGAATATACCTCATGAATGTAATACTTTTATCTACCAGAAATGTCTTCTTTCTGTTTGTTGTACATTTACCTATTGAGACAGTTTAACCTCGTATATCATAGGAGGACATGCTTAGTCTGCCATGGCACTGTTTTAAGTTCATGAAAATTGTTATGACCCCGCCGTAGGCAATGGGGGCATTAAGTCATACTCTTGTCTGTCCTTTCGTTCGTCCCGTCTTCGTTTATGCACCCTAACTTAAGTTTACCTCGTCCAAATTTTAAGAAATACATTCACAAAGTTAAGAAACAAACTTGCTGACAGAATTTGTTCGAATTTGGGCAGTGACTGACTTACTTACCGTTCTAGAGTTATGCCCTATATAACTTGGAAAATTGCTTATTTTTTCGTTTCAGCACTCTAACTTAAGGTTGCTTGATCCAAATTTTATGAAACTCATACACAATACCAAGACCAACAACACGCAGACAAGCTCGAATTTTGGTAGTGATTCATTTACTGTTCGAGAGTTATCTCCATTTTAAACTTGAAAAATTGCAATGCTTGTGCGGGACATTCGTAAACCGGGAGCTCTGTGTTACAAGGCAGCGAGTTAATCGACTGAGCTAAAGTAGTACTTCCCTAGGTCAACAGCTTACGGCTGGCTAAGTATCTTAAACATATACTAAGGGAAGCAATCCCGTCACAATACAAAGACATATTGGGAAACGTTTATACGTCAAGGAAGCGGTGCTTTAAATGTTTTTTCTTGGTTTTACTATCTTGTCTGAAACAACAATCACTGACATTTACTAGTTTTTTGAATCTTCTTCAATGATGCATGTACATTTAAAGGAAATATTCAATCGAGTTTTTGTTATATAGTTCTTCAACTGTTTCGGTACTTATACATCCCTCGGATTTCAAATGTTTGGCTTTGGGCGTTCCTGCTGAAGGTAAATCCAGAAAAGCGCTTCGGACGCGTGAAATTATTTAACGTGTTGTTTTCAATTTTTTACATCACTAGGTCGATACCTCTGCTGGTGGACTATCAGTCCCCGAGGGTATCATCAGCTCAGTAGTCAGTACTTTGGTACTGACATGATTTATAACAAACCCTTCTAAATAGTCCGTTGATAAATTTTGAAATTATAAAGAAACTAAGGTTTCAACTCCCTCAAGCAAAGTTGACCTTAGATGAATTTGGCTATTTGTTTTAGGTGTTTTTGTCATATAGCTCTTCAACTGTTTCGGTATTTATACATCCTTCGGATTTCAAATGTTTGGCTTTGAGCGTTCCTGATGAAGGTATATCGAGAAAAGCGCTTCGGACGCATGAAATTATTTAACGTGTTGTTTTCAATTTTTTAATAAGAAAGAAACCAGCAAAACACCACCATAACCAATGCCTTCTAGAAGTCATTCGAGGTTTAGGACTTGAATTGTCTCCTTAACTTATACTCCACATGTATTATATTCCTATGCAAATATTATTATATTATCTTCAAAGAGAGACACAAAAATTATATCATCATGTACAGTTAGTTACCACAACGTGGAAAGAATACCAAATGTGCAATCAAAAATAATAAGTTGAAAAGAAACCGACATCATCGTAGCAAAAACCGAAAAGAGAAACAAAACTTTACAATTATCATATTAACAGTTGACTAACACGAGCTCCCACTTAAATCGAGGTTGAACTCCGGAAGGGTATTCAAATTTCTCACATGTATGCCACAAATATAAGGTTTAAATATTCATAAGCTTGAAGTTGAATCCCTTAATTAACAGGTTGTGAACATCTATGGCTAAAGATGATAATAAGATCATTACTGTAACAATAGGCAAAGAAACCTTTAATAAAGCACCCAACCTGGCAAACACAAATATAGATAAGTGTGTCAAACGTTATTTTGTCGAATCACAATAAGCTGTTTACTTAGAGAAAAAAATTGCAAAACTTAGCCAGTTTCATATAATTATTAAAGAGGCATTAGCTGTCAAAATCATGTTCACCGATTTGACTCAAATTCTCATATTCAATTTATAACATACTAAAACGTATATCCAAATTACAAGAAGTCTGAAATACACAGTTAACAATGCATGTACTCGATAATATTTATCAGAATTTCGTGTGTATTTTAGTCTAGACGCCATCTAATTAACTATCGAGATGACCTCCGAAGACTGCCGACGGCCACATAACCCGATATAAACATAAACATAAATATAAATAGATATCAACCTCGTGCAATTGGATTGTTCTATGTCTGTTTGATTTCATGTTATAGGTTAACAAAATCAGTTAATTATCGTTTTAACTTGTAAAGGAATATTTTTTTCTGGATAGAACAAGTCAACGAAATGGCTCACCTTTGTTTCACTTTCAATGTTGACATTCTTTTCCTTTTAATGACTGCACACGACTAAAACATGCGTAACCAATCTCTAGCTGATGGCTTAAATTGAAGGTCACATGAATACGGATTCAATGAGATCGAATTATTCACTTGCAAGTTTCTTTGCTTATTTTTGACAAAATTGAACAAAATTGGGTGCTACATGTAAAAGCGAATTAGTATTTCATTATTTCACTTTCATTGATGATTGAAACCAAACTAAATCATATTCTATTTTTTTTTCATATCTCGTAGCTAATGCCCCTTTAAGGATCTTGTTACCAGCATGTGTAATTTTCTTTTTCTCTTACAGAAACAATGAATATGTTGATGCTGGTATTATTTACCACAAGTGTTCACGTTGTATATTGTCACCGCTGTAAAATCATTGACGGCAGTTTCAAAATAGCTGATTGTCGTAAACTTCATTTAAGGGAAATTCCTCAAAATCTGTCGGAAGACATTGATATTTTGGATCTTGGTGAAAACAACTTTGTTGAAATTTCGAATGAATCCTTCAGCCGTTATAGCAACTTAAAATTAGATACATGCAACATTGAAAGCGTGGAGTCAGAAACATTTAAAGGTTTGTGGAAGCTTGAAAACCTATCATTAGCTAATAATTCGCTCAATATATCAACCAATGATGGGTTATTTATTTTACGTAACATACCAAACATTATTGACCTCGACTTTAGTTCAAATATGGAATCGGCTGATAAAATGGGACATTTGTTGTATCCAGGAGCGGCATTTCAACACTTGAAAAAGCTTCAAAACTTGACTATAGATTTGTATGGATATCCCGTTTTTGAACCTGAATTCAAGAATTTACCATTGAAGTATATCAAGTTCCAGAGCTGTCATCTTCAAAATTTAAGAAATGACACATTTAAAAATTTTCCAGATGCTTTGTCAGAAATACATTTGTCGAAATGTATTTCTATCAATACTTCTCAAATCGCAGTTAACGCATTGCGACCGTTTAACTCGCTTTCTATTCTTGACATGTCTTGGACTTGTGTTACTCTACCGAAAGGGTTGGAACTGTTGTATCCACTAAGAATGAGGACAATGCAAGTGGTTAATCTATCACACATGCTAAATCCAAGAACAAACAGACTACTTTTGCCTCATACCATCATCCTGACAAAGGAAATGATGAAACATTTGAACACAATGTGCGTTCAAATTCTTATTTTAGCTGATAACAACATTGTTGATATTCTTCCTCAGTCATTGTTTGGTTCAGAAAATCTCGAATGCCTTGAATATATCGATTTATCAGGCAATCGTTTCGGTTTTTTTTCTATCAAAAACGACCTTCCATTTACTGCCTTTAGACTTTCACGTCTTCGAGTTTTCGATTTTTCATACTTGGCGTTAACATATTTGGATGCAGTTTACATGCCAGCAACAACCAGTGTAGAGCCATATCATCCGCACATCAAAAAGAAAAGGAAGCAAGATTATTGTGAAGGTGAAACTTCCGTCAATGTAACTATTCCATCTAAACTAGAAGTACTGCGTATAACCCATGTTTTAGGAGCGCCTCCGCTTCCAAAGTTACTTATTATGAATAATATAACTAGTTTACGATACTTAGACATGTCTTATTATGATATCAAATGCTTTCCTGATATTTATTTGTACAATCAAGAGATACAGTTGGAATTTTTAGACATCTCAGGAATTGACTGTGAGCTTTACTTTAAGAAGAAAAACCTGCCTTTCTTCCCAGTGCTTAAGGAACTGTACATAAGGGATGCACATTTCTATCGTACTATAGATGAGAACATTAATATATTTACAAATACTCCAAATTTAGAGCGTTTAGATTTACACTCGAACTATATGTTTACTTTTCCATCATCATTCATAAGGCATTTGGACCTTCTAACTCACCTACGACTTTCAGAAAATCGTCTGAGTCATATTCCTACTGCTATTACAGATCTGCCAAGACTAAAATCGCTAGATCTGAAAGGGAACCGAATATTTACTCTCTTCCCAGAGTTTACTTCATGGCTTGATGCCCAACAAGTAAAACTTGGATATTTTTCACTCAAGATACGGAAAAATGATTTCTCTTGTTCGTGTGAACACAGAGAATTTGTTCGATGGTTGAATAGTACCATGGTACATTTGGACAATACGACGTACTATTGTCGATTGAGCAATGGATCCTTCAGTAACACTGACACGGTTTTAATGAATTACCATGCAATTTTCGGTAATTGCGATGCTTTCGTTTGGTTACAAGTTGGTGTCATACTTTTAGTATCTTTCTTTATGGTTCTTCTTCCTACTATAGTAATATACAACTTCCGATGGAGAATCATATTTTTCTGCTACCGGAAGTTTCGAGGAATTGTGGAGAACAGCTTGAAGTTGAATTATGATTATGACGTATTCATTTCTTATGGATACGATGGATATACATGGGTTCTTGAGACTTTAATAGAGCAACTGGAAACAAAATGGGGTTTCCGAGTATGTGTAGAAGACAAGAATTTCATAAGTGGCAGATCGACGTTTGAACAAATAGGTATTGCTATAAACAGAAGTCGCCAAATCATTTTCGTCGTGACCTCCGATTATATGTCTAAACCTTGTGCAGCGTATGAAATAGACCGGACAAAAGAAGCCAGGTCATCACGTTCGCTACAGAATATAATTGTTATTGCCTTAGACATAAACATTGAAGACATACCACGAGAATTACAGGCACTATGGAGTGATGTTGTTGTTATTGAATGGCCTCGACATTCGAATGAAGTTAGTTTGGCTTTAGACAATCTGAAAACCAGACTTCTGCTGAATTTTTGAGACACCTCTGATGAAAATCTTCGTATTTGCTATAAAAGGATAGAATGAGCAATGTTAACTATTTTTTTTACTTTTCGTTTGTTATTTTATATAATAAAATAAAAGTGTTAGAATTTAATTCTTTTATCGTATGACAGCTAAACCAGGAGCTGAAAAACAAAAGGAGGATAACTAATACCCTATGAGAACTCTTCCGATAAAGAGCTGCAGCAACTTTTTATAATTGAGTTCAAAGGCTGATAACTTAAGATTGTTGTTACTAGTCATAATGAAAATGCAACCATCATGTACAATTATCTAGCTATCAACCAAGTGTTAGTAAATCAATATTCAAGTTATTATACCCCACACAACAAAGCAAATAAGTATAACGTTTTTGACCCGTCAGTCCGTTTGTTCATAGGTCCAGTTCTTTTCATTGCAACTTCTCTGAAACCATACAACAGAATTTCGGGAAACTTTGTAGATAATTAGAACATATTATGTAGACGTTCATAACAACAATAATTTTTTATCAGTTTACTTTTGTAGGAGTTATGAGCATCTGTATTGTTATCTGCTATTTCTGGTAAATTTTCATTACTCAAAAGCATTATTTATCTTCTAAGAAACAATTTCGACATTTAAACGAAATCTTTTACTAACGATACTGGGAAGATGCTTAACTATTTACAGTTTTTGTAGACAAAACCAAGTAAGAAATGACCACCACAAAGGAACATAAATAGAACCATACAAATAGTACATGCATGCAGGTTCTCAGATACCATCTCGCATAATAAAATAAATTCATGCAGAAATGCACCTAATGTGTTCCTCTTTTAATTTTGAGTTTTTGCTGCTATCCAAAATCAAAGTTGTGGAACATATTTTATCAGAATCATTTGGTAATCCATGCAATCTTCTTCTTCTTTACGTAAATCCCTCCAGCGTTGGAGCACACACAGCTAGCTATGTTCCCTTAACGGACCAGTTTTTAAAATGATAATGTATTCACAAAAAAGTAATTCCAAAGTTAAAATGTTGAAAAGAAATCCTCCACCGGAATGTTGCACATGCACAAAATTTATTTACAGGAATGTACATATTATATACATGAAGCACTCATACGTTCACCAAGATGTAGATTAGATATTAAAAGCAGTGTCAAATGTAGCTAAATAAAATCTATGAACGGTCGGCACTGATCTAAATTAGTGTCATCTCCATGAAAGTCTTGAACATTAAAACTAAATATTAAATAAACGACACTACTAATCTTTAGTGTTTGGTACAGGTTGGCTGTCACTGTGCAACACAGTGTAAAATAGAACCTATGGGGAAAAACAGAGAACTGAAAACACTGTCAAACATCCAAACATACTTTCCACACTGATCTGTGTCCACACTTGTAAATCAAGATAAAATACTTTTTAGAGAGAGAAAAAATAATGTTGAGTAAACATATTTTGAACATACGACTCATTATCTGAATTTAAAACAGATTTACCTGAGATCACTTCCAGTTTTTGGTGTGGTTCGTATTTCTCAATCTTTTGTTTTTATATGTTGTGTTTTGTGTACTGTTGTTTGTCTGTTCGTCTTTTTCTATTTTAGCCATGGCGTTGTCAGTTTATTTTCGACTTAAGTTTGAATGTCCCTTTGATACCTTTCGTCTCTCTTTTATATGTTAATATATGTATTTCCATTGTTATAGTATATTATTTACAAAATGATAAGTGTCAACGTACAATGATGAATAGATGGCGTGATTTTATATTCTTATTTTAATTTTGCAAATTAATATAGAAAAGGGTTTTATAAATATAATGGCATCTACAATGTTTGTGTGTGTCTCTCTCTTTGTCAATTAAAGTTGTTTGTGTTTATGTGCCACGGTCAATACAATTCAGACCTAGCTACATTTAACATTGCATGAACATTTCTTTATTAATTCGGTGCGACCGTAGTGCATGTTTGTAATAACTTTAACCAGGGACAATCATACCACCGAAAAGTGAAAGCCAGGAATGTAAAAAAACTCTAAACGTGAGGTATATGACCAAAAGGACCTAATCTTAGTTTCTTATGTATGAATAATCCAATGGTTATGGGTGTGCATATCGTAATTGTACCGTCCTGTGGGGAGTGTATAAATGTGTGTCAGATAAATACTTTGTTCGTATGGATCCATAACACTATTTCGTAACGGTATACAATATACTAGCTGCATATGTCGGATCGACACAAATATACCCGCTCGCAGCAAATGCCTGAAGCCATATTTAAAAGGGGATATTTTAGAATGAAAGTCTATATAATGGTTATTTTCAGGAAATTTTCAAGATTCTAAAGCCAGTAATTTCGGCTCAAATCAGCGGAGCAGAACTAAACGTAAACTAGCGGAGCAGAACTAAACGTAAACTAGCGGAGCAGAACCAAACGTAAACTCAATCTGTAACTCACCATAGTAGACTCACATACTAAAGATCATATCAATATGTGAATATACGATATTTTCAAAGTCCAAAACCCGTAATTTTGGCAAAAATCAATTGAAGCGGAACAAAACGTTAAGTCGAACTGTAACTAATCAAAGTAGACTCACATACTTAAATCAGCTCAATATGTGAAGGCGTTTAAAAGAAAAAAGAGTCCATATAACTGTTATTTTCATAGCAGAACCAAATGTAAACACGATCGGTAACTCAGCTTTGTAGACTCACCTACTAAAAATCAGCTCAATATGTGAAGGTGTTTAGAAAAAAAGTCCGTATAACTGTTATTTTCACAAAAGTCAAAAGTCCATTTTTTTCGACAAAAATTAGCGGAGCAGAACCAAACGATATTTTCAAAGTCCAAAACCCGTAATTTTGGCAAAAATCACTTGGAGCGGAACAAAACGTAAACTCGATCTGTAACTCACCATAGTAGACTCACACACTAAAAAGCAGCTCAGTGTGTGTATAAGCACAAACAAAACGATAATGAATAAACAATATCATAAAAATAATTTCTTGTAGTGACTAAAAGCAAGAGAAAAGCTTAAGAAATCATTATGTCGTACCCAGTCATACATTGTAGCTAATTTGATGCATGTGATAATTATCATTACAACACCTGGGTCGATACCTAGGATAGTGGACTGTTAGTCTCAGAAGTATTGACAGCTCAGTGCTAGTACTTTGTTACCAGCATGAAAATACGTATATTTTTTAAAGGAACATATCTCCCTCGTGCAAAGCTTTGATTTCTTGTGCGGATGTGGCTATAGTTTATGTATTCTTTGTTTTAGTGCTATTAGCTCTTCGACGTTTGTATCAGGTTTTGGATTTTCCAATATAATGGCCTCGAGAGTCAATGAAGTGGTATTGATTGTGGAAAGGCGCATCTAAATATTTCTTGATCAGACTGGGAAACTACACATAACAATGAAACTTCATACATTTGTAGGGCCTCGGTGGTCGAGTGGTCGAAGTAGTCGCACTACTGTATCTCTAGCCTGTCAACACTGAGGTTATGAGTTCGAATCCCACACGTTGCAAGTATGCTCGACTCCAATTTTAATTGACTAGGATCGTTATGCGTCTCTCTCCGGGCACTCCAGCTTCCTCCACCAATTAAAACTGACCGCCACGAAATAACACAATAGTGCTTAAAGTAGCATTAAACACCAATCAATCAATCGAGTAATCAATCAATCATACATTTGTTTTCCTGTCGAAAGCCTTCATTTAAGAAATAATTCCTGCAAGCCATAGATTTGTTGGAAATTTTCACATGGCCTGGGCCGTAATATTATAATTTTTTCTCGGGCGTTAGCGAGGGATAAAATTAACGAATACATCTGTATACCAAATATTATTGACTTTAAACAGACCTAATAACAAACTAATACATCTTTGACGCCACCGCCGCCGCCCCCGCCTAGTACATTTCGCCTAGTCTCGCTTTTTCAACCAAACCAAGGAGAGACAAAAGCCTATAAAATATCGTCAGATGACGTATTGTAAAAAATAATAAAATTGTACAAGAGATTTGAAAATAAAGTGAAGAAAGCTGTTAGGGTAGGGTTGACCCTCACAAACAGCACTCATACCACATCTTCTTATTTCTATTAACTCCGCCACATTCTGTATATGCCTGTCCCAAGTCAGGTGCTTGATGTTTGTTCATGTCTGTCATATTTGTTTTTCGTAAATTGTTTTGTTGTAAATAAGGCCGTTGGTTTTCTCAATTGAATTGTTTCATATTTTTCATGTCGGGGCCATTTATAGACGATTATACGGTATGGGATTTCTCATTGTTGAAGGCCGTATGGTTGCCTATAATTGGTTACATCCACTTCATTTGAGTTTTGGTGGATGAATGTCTCATCGGCAATCATACCACATCTCCTTGTATTTAATATTGTAGTAATGTTATTTTAGAAGCCAATATACATCAATCATATGGAACATACAATAGGTCTGTCATAATCTTTTATTTCTAAGAACACAAATTTCATGGAGGACCTTGAATTGGTTCCTGATTTGGACATGTACAGTATAACATTCGTTGATTTATTGATCAATGTTTAATTGATTATATATTAATCTAAACTTAAATATAGTTCGTGATAGCTGTATACTTTTCTTTTCTACAGATGTTGGTCGACCCAGTCTTTGAAAGCATTGAATGCATCAGTCTGTTGCTTCTGGTTTAATCCAAATGTCTCAAGAAAATGTTTACACCTTACCCTGTTCATATCACGTATTAAACATTGACCAAAGAGCTGTTGTGCCTAAATTTAAAGAAAAACATGCAATTTTATGAAACAGTCCTCGGCCGTTGTAGACTCTAACACACAATGAAAGAAAATTAAGAAAATCTTTCCAAAACTTAATTTAGTGACACCTGACAAAATATTGTTACTCGCTGAATTAAATGCGGCTTCGTCAGACTCTGGCTTAATAATTTACTACTGTGTAATTTAATATATCAATTTGCGACAATTTTACAAATAAACTGAACAAGATAATGCTTGAATGGCACGAATGCGAATCTATTGTTGCACATTTTTACGATTCAGAGCTAATTACTTTATGGTAGTGCATGAATCAAGTTGTACCAATTGAATCATAATGCAGAATTTTACCACTTTCTTCATTCGTTGTGCTGTTTCTTATGGCTCGTCCTTAGTATAAAGATATAGATTTTTTTCTTCTAGACTTCATTTTGTGGAGCAACGTGTTCATACCAGTATAGCAATACATATTTAGCTATGTTTTACTTTATTAAAAACCAAGTTGTTTTTTACATGATAGAGAAAATATTCAAGGATCTTAGTACAGTATTAAATTGGTAACCTTTCAGAATAATTCATTCAAAGAATCAATGAGTTTAAATGAATCGTATCTAAAATTACGGGCTCTATATACAACAGTGGTGTACAAATCTGGTGTTCCCGTCTGTAATAAGGTTTTTACAGGTCGAAACTTTTGTATCTATAAAGAATTAAGAAAAATTTTTACGTAATTTGTGGTAACGAAATCCACGACTTTATTAATTACCAGATATACATAGATTACTTTCATTTAAATGTAAGCCGTCACTTCAGACACGGGCATAACAAACGAGTAGGGATATATAAAAATCGTGTTAAAGGACCAAAGGAACGTCACTGTCCAATAAAATGAAAATAACAATGGGTAACTAAATTCTTGTGTCGTAAATTTTATAGTTTCCTGCGTTTAACTGAAAAAACCAAATCTAGAAACGTTTTAAGGGAATTAGATTTACCTTAAGCCAGTTCCCTATGGGATATTTCCGTATCAGTTTTTTTTATTTATCTAAAGCAAATAAAATTGAGAATGGAAAAGGGGAATGAGTCAAAGAGACAACAACCCAACCATAGAGCAGACAACAGCCGAAGGCCACCAATGGGTCTTCAATGCAGCGAGAAACTATATTTTCTAGGTAACGACATTTTTTTCTCTTTTAAATGAAATGTAGCCGGACGCAAGTGTATATAATAGAAAAGAAAGACTATGGGGGTACCCATCTAGCATACTTACCGTGTAATTGTATAACAAGGCTTTATATGAGTTGCAGCAAATGAAATTGCTATCATTTTTTTCATTCAACCATTTGATTAAGGTGGTACCAAACACCGTGAGTAAAATTAATTTGGCTCGTTTATTTTTTATAAAATTTTGACAAAATATTTACTTTGAACCTTTGACAAAAATAAAAAAAAAATCAAAAATCTTGAACCACACACTTTATCGGAAAAATGTCATTGGATATATAGCAGTTTGACAAACACTTATTTTGATCATTGAGAAGCTTAATATTTCCTTAAGGGCATACGATATAGTTTTGATCCCATAATGAAAATTTGATGAAAATTTGCAAATTGGCTTTTTTTTACCTGATTAAATCAAATATGTAATAAAAAATATACCTTCATGTGCTACTTTTTGAGTAAAATGAGTTCGAAATTTCAGATATTTGCTCAAAATTCGGATTTGTGGACGCATTTTTCCTTCCGACAGAAATGCATAACTTTTTTGTTTTAAAAGATAAACACAAGCTGTTTTTTGTTAAATTATTTGTAATTTCTGTTTTATATAAGTATTCTATAAATTTATGAAATATTTTGTTTAGAAATAACTCAAATTTATCAAATGTTCATGAATGTAGATAAAAACGTCATTTTTTGCTGTATATTTATCAAATTTAAAAAAATTGCATTATTGACTTTTTCATGAAAATTGGTACAAATAACCTTCATACGTAATCAAACCGAATGTCATTTTAAAAAAGAGGGGTCCATGAACTCGTTTTCAAGTTAAATCAGTTTGAATGATAAAAATCAGTCGAAAAATACATCTTTTCCCGATATGTCACAGTTTGACGTCGCTAAAATAACATTTTATGTTAGCAACGTCATTACCTCCCCTGTAACTGTATCGTATGCCCTTAACAATAAAACGTTCAGCTGATTTTTACAGATTTCTCCCTGTAGTGTTATGTACCACCTTTAAAACGAAAACTTCTGTATAATGGTGTAGAAGTATAGTGTAGTGTAGTGTAGTGTATCTTCTCCCTTTTCACATGACTGTGGATTCATTAATATTCGTTGCATTATACCAATATTTGTGGATTTCGTGGGTACAGGGGAACCACAAATTTAAGTGTTCAACGAATTACAGACTTTGCCAAAACTACGAAATTAAACATCCACGAACCTGTTAGTTTTCCTCAATCCACGAAAATTGGTACGCACGAAAATAAATGACTCTACAGTATTTTTATTATTAATGCGTACCAGTTATGCCAATAGAGAGAAAATTTCAGAAGGCAGAACTTAGTTGCTACAAAGCAGCTTAGTCATTAGATACAAAACTTATCTATACTTACTTCAGTTATTCCCCTTCTACTAAAGCTGACTTTCGATTTATTACCAATCCCCGGCACTTCTCCTACTCCAATACCTTTCATAGGCCTGCCAACAAAATTGACATGTTTCGCTGTAACACTTGCTTTCTCCATTGTTGTGATTAAAATGAAGATCTGAAGACGCTGTAAGTAAGACAAAAGATGTGTTAGACTGTTAGTCTTTACATATAGCTATGTTCAATGTGGTTTCTGGTGTATTATAGTACAGTGTATAGAAGAGTTCCGAGATAGTTGTTGTTTCAATGTGGAGTTTGAAAAGTGACATAATTGACATCATGATCATTGATAGCATTCGTATTTCACATACAGGGAATTAAGCAAAAGCCTGAAAGGAACAATTTAAATAGATTTACGCGGCAAACTTTCTTTCAAATTGTGCTAGTATGCTTACCCGCTTATCCTCATAAAAACCTACCTTTAGATGATGTCATAAATCAGTTAGCGACGTTGTATCGATTTCAACATTGCATAGATTTCTGACGTCATCACGTGTCGTTTGTATGTAAAATGAAATCGAACACGGAAAACGAACTATCTCGGAACAGAAGTGTTATTACCTGTACTACTAAAAACGACCTCGACCCTTTTGTTTGCAACCTCGTATGACTGGAAAGGCCTGAATTGCGATTTGTATTTCAAAACCTTGTATTTGACTCAATTATTCCCCCCTTATCAAAGGTTTGTAAGTAATCCGGTACAGTTTGAAGATACTTATGGGGTAACTAACTACTGAGTATCATGAAATTGTTTTAAAAATAATAATGTTGACATATTTTATTCTGTATCAATTAAGAGTGTATAGCGGTATTGCTGTGCATAAGCATTATATAAACAACCAGCGCAGATTCATTCATATACATGTACATTAACATGCACTTCCACAAACGTCGAAGGTCAAATATACATGTAGATATGCTCAATATCTTGACCGAAGCCTAGAAATGACTGTAAACTAACCACAATACCAGGACTTCCTTCGGTTGTTGCATACAACATTAACATTTAACATTTAAATATATGTACTTCATATGTCATATAGTCTCTGGTGGATAGTTGTCTCATTCGCAATCATATCATATTTTCTTACTTTTATATTCAGTCCTACCCTTCGTCTAACATTTATCTAAGAAAAAAAAACATCCGTTTTTGTAAGAGTAAAGGTCAAATTTTAGTGGTCAAAATTAGTAGTCTCATTGACGTTACAAATGACATATCTGGTTAATGCAGGCGATCCAAAAAAAAAAGGAAAATCGGAGATATTCCGAATGACAAAATATACTGAAATGGCCAACGTAGATGCGTTCGGACTTCCGCTTCCCTACGCGACATTTATCTTAAGTTCCCAATTCTATAATAGCTTTGTATAACGTCAAAATATGTGCAATTTTCTGTGAAGTGTCTGGTATCTGGGTTGAGAACTGTGGGAGGATTCGATTACACAAATTAGTTACTTACTTTTCCCCCGCACGCCCGTACGCCCACCTGTCATCACAATATTTTATGTCGGATTGGGACTTCGTCCAACCCGGCCTAAACAAATACATAGAAGTACTTTAAGAAGGTAGATTATCTAAAAAGTGCAAAATAATTGAAGACGATATTCATTTCTTTTAACAAAGGGAATTTAAGTTTATTTTGATTATTTTTATAAATACACAATTTATAGGTATAATTGATATAGATAAAATTAAATAAATATATCCGCAAGCCAAGATTATGCATCAAGGTATACAAATAGACGTGGTTCCCTTTATTCCACGGGGAAAACATGTGCTATGGGAATTGGGTTTGATATAGATACAATGTACATTGCAAATTAAAATATTGCTCACAAAAAATATCTTAATCAATAAGAGATCTATCATATTAAAATTTAAACATTAACAATTAAATATAAAAACCATAATAAACTATTAAACAGATATATACAGATGTTTCAGTAGCTACAGCAGTAAACAATGACATGGGGAATAAATATTTCAGAATAGAATCAGCGGTGGATTTAAAGGGGGGGCTTATGAAGCTACATATATGCTAAATGCATAGATTTTTAAAATGCCCAACTCCTAACGTTGCCTATTTTGCCCCCTTTCAAAATCGTTGATACGCAAATGAAAATTACCTGTTTTGTTCAAAGTTTTTATTAAGAAAAATTTAGAATAAATTAACATAATTTATGAATAGAAAAATGGATCAAAGATTCAAATGGTCGGGTTCTGCAGAACATTTTTTTAAACAGTGGAGAATTGTCTTTACCAAAGATTAAATAGATATTAAAATATAAAATGGAGAAATGGAAAAAAATCTTTAAACAACTCGATAATGAAAGGTGCACAGCCTCAATAAGTTTGTGAAGTTCCAAAAGATCTGGGATAAAAAAATGGTTATTATCTTTTAAAAAAATTGCTGATTAAAGGTCTTGAAAATAGGGTAAAAATCGTCAAACAATTTAAATATAGAAGGTGCATAACTGCAATGTATGTGTTATTATTGTGTGAAAATTCAAGGATGTAGTACATTGTAGGAGTTGATTTATACACCAATTGGTGTTTTTTTTCTTTTTTTTTCCTGAAAAAAAAAACGAATTCCGAAAGATTGAAGCAATGCATGGTAAAACAAATTTCTCAAACAATGCCATACAAGTAGGTTAAAACTTTGGAATAGCACTTGCCTAACTTCAAACTAAATAGGTGCAATATTTCTGTCTGGTATCTGGGTTGAGAACAGTACTTAGGAAAAGTTGATTAAATGAATTATGTGATTATTTTCCACACGCACATCCAACCGGGACAAAAAGAAAATTAAAAAAAAAAAAACTTTTAGAAGGGAGATTGTGCAAAAAGTTGCCAAAAAATTAGAAGAAGACATTCGTTTCTTTTACATTGGGAAACATTTCTTTTACATTGGGAGATGAAGTTATTTTGATTTTTTTTTTAAATACACAGTTTATAGAGTTAATTGATATAGTCTAAATCGCATATGTATCATTACGCCAACTTGATACATCCAGACCATAGGGACTTGACTACAGGTCAGATATATAGCCCGTTAATCGTCTACGTGCATTTAAAAAGAAATATCCAGTTGGATCCAGTGAATAGTAGGGGCATACGTTTTTTTTTAATGCACGGAGACGATTAACGGGCTATATATCGGACCTGAAGTCAAGTCCTTATGATCCAGACACTATACAAGTAAACTTGAATCCTTTTTAAAAACGGTTCTAAAACCGAGGACAGGGGACTCTTAAGTTTGAATACAATAATGGGCACAATTAACAATAACATTTTGTGTTTGTTTGTTTGTTTGTTTGTTTGTTTGTTTATTTATTTTCTTATTTTATGGGGGTGTTTGTCTTTAGTTTTTAATTTCTGACCATTTTTCATCCGCATACGCATTTCTTCAGAACACGAACGGATCCAGTCGTAGCTTTCTTTGTTTTTTCAACTAGACTTTTTGTTTTGAAATAAATATATTTTTTCGTACATGTTATCTATGCTTGCATAACATGGTAATCGTGTTACTTTACCTGTCCAGACGCACCAATTAATGTCGTCAACTCAAGTCATTTACTGTTGTGAATGTAAACGAGACAATTTTGATTGGACGGTGTAAAAGGGGAATTCCCTCTTTTTCCAAAAATAAACGATTTTCACATTTTCGGGAAATTGATCATTTCTAAAAAATGTCGAATTTCAAAATTGGAGAAACCTTACTAGTTGATGGTTTTTAAAAGAAATAACAGAATCCCATTGAAAATAAGAACAGACGTTTCAGTTAGGTTATATAATCTTGCCTTTGACGGGGAGTAAATAAGACAAGTCCTTTCAAACTGTACATCTAATTTATCATCTAACAATTATTACAACTATAAACAAAAAACAATGTTACAGGTCCGACCTTACACCCTGATAACCTGAAATAGCCCGATGTTGAACCGGATTCAACCGCACTACATAACATAGGTTTAATTAAAAGAGGACTTTAATGCATTAAATCATGTTAGGCTTATAATCTATTTGAGCTATTTATTTATTTATTAGTACAATGTTAAAATTCACTGTGTAAATGTGGATAAACATTGATTCCAGCAAACATTTAGTGTTTTCTCGGAAGAATGAATCAAATTCAAGATTATGTATTTTATTTTAGTTTACCTATTTCTCTACCATTTCTGTGATATTGTTTCCATGGATGCAAACTTTCTATTTCTGAACATTAAATTTTGAAATCATGTTTAAAGTGGTAGGGTCACATTCCCTTGAATTTACTTTACACCAGGGCCATTTTCATAAATTAATTTTGGGAAATTCAAAGTTTTGAATTTATAAGAAAATAATGAGAAGAACTTTCTGATCCAACATCAAAATGTTATAGGGTTTATTGTAGCTACATGTATGCCAGTGTTGTCTTTAAGATGCAAATTAGTTCATTTTCATAGTTGGTTTATATGACTGTTTTTACACACAAAGTTTTTCAAAAAACAAAACATGTAAAAAAACTTATCAAGTTGCTCGACACAATATGAAGCCTTTTTGAACTCGTTCGCTGCGCTCACTCGACAAAAATCTTCATATTGTGACTCGCAGCTGATATTTTACAATATCAATATGCAGACAACCTGATAATTGGTACTTATAAACCATTTTTCTGTCACAGATAGTAGGATTTTTTGTGTTACTAGGCACATCAATTGGATTTTGTTTTCATTCCAAATTTTAACTTAAAAATGCCGTCAACATAATCCGTGTGTATTGTCCTTCCCTTCGCCTTTATCGGTCGTCCCACTTTCTATATCACTCTGTTCTGCTCTTAATAAAATTGCATATCACGGATTTGTGACGTCAAATACGTTGACCCGGCCTTAATAACTTCGACCCGGACATATCAAAAACGTCATAATGTATGAACCGACGTTAATAAGTTTGACCCGAACTTATAAAGACGTCTTCCGGTTTGCTGGTAAAACAAAGAAAACACTTGTTTCTATCATGCAAATTACGCAAATACAACCCGATAAATCGATTATCTGGTTGTCTGCATATTGATAATGTAGAATATCAGCTGTTCGACACAATATGAAGCCTTTTTGAACTCGTTCGCTGCGCTCACTCGACAAAAAGCTTCATATTGTGACTCTCATCTGATATTTTACGATATCAGACAACCTGATAATCGGTACATATCAACCTACTCAGTCACGTATAACGGCTTTGAGACGTAAGCGTACATGTATGTAGTTTGAATTGATGTATACATGTACATGAACGTCGATATATTGGTAATGTGATGATATTGTATCTTAGGTTCGATATTTTACCTTAGTTACAGTTCGGCAGAAGCCTTATTTCATGTATTTGTATATACTTTAATAAAACATAGAAAAGAATAAGATATTTGGTAGGTTAACCTTGGGTCAGGTCAAATGTGAAGGGGTGTTCCAGTGGAAACTCTAATACGAGTAATGAGGCACTTTGGAAGAACACCCCTCCTTCAAGAATGATACGGCTACCATTGTGGTATATAAGCAGGAGCGATTCCTTGCTCTTTGTCATTCGTCTGAAGTCTACGAAGACGATGGCAATGATACGTACGGTACGTGATATAGCAGTGTCAAAATTTAAAAGATGTCAAATACTACAGTTTATTGGAATTTGATTTTTTAAGAAACTATATCATAAACTTAAAATTTTGTTTTTCAATTTAAAATATTTTCATAACTCAAAAAATTAATGCTATTTATCTTTTCCTTACAGGGAAATATGAAATTTTCAAGTTTATTGCTGGCTGCATTTATTCTTCCCACTGGAACTTCACACTCAAAATTTAACAGGTATTCCGCAAGATTTACCAATAGACATTGAATCCTTGGATCTGAGTGAAAACAACCTGTGTGTTATTTTGAATAAATCATTGCGAGATACGGGCATTTGAAAAAACTTGAGCTTGACAACAGTAAAGTACACACCGTGCAACCTAAAGGCTTTAATGGCTTGAATAGTCTGGAAAATGTAACGTTAGCCGGAAACGCACTAAATATATCGACCGATGGTTTATTTATATTGACAAATATACGAAATATTATCAACCTTGATTTTAGTTTAAATATGGATTCATCAGATAAAAGAGGGTATCTGTTTTATCCAGATGAGGTATTTCAACGGATCATAAAATTATGACCGGACAATTTGGACTGTGCAATGAAATTAGTTTTTAAACAACATTTTATGAATTCAATTGTTTTAGTGTATATTCTTGTTTTGCATTTATTTTATTATTCTGAACTTTGTCGTAAATTTAGGCATAAGTGTTTCACACGGATTATGTGTCATAATTTTGGACAAAGGACTTAAATTCATTTACTCTATTCATTTAATTATTTATTCTCTGTAACAGTTTAGACAATAATTTACTTATACGTGTCGGACATTAATTACTCTTCTAATCTATTGTTATTTCTACTTGGCATATGTTAATCTTCTTAATCCTTTAATTGGTTGTGCTTATATATATTGTTATTGTTTGTATGTTATTTTACATTTAGTTTGGAGTTTGTTGTTCGGTCTTGCCGGACTGCTAAAATAAAAGTTTAAGGAGCGAAATATTCCTTTTTGATTTCCATTTAGCCGGAACGCCATTTTACCTGGCTATATCTGGTGTTAGGACATCCGGGCATCGCATCTATCGGATACCTTGTTCTACCTGTGAAGCTGATCCCCCAGCAAACAGAAAAATGGATACGCCGAGAACCAGAAATTTTGGCCGAGACTGGAGATACCAGATGTCTGATCATGGAACTACCTTTCAGACAAGAAATTTTCAACATATGGACAACCACCTATGTAAGTTTTGTGGAAAGACTGTGAACAATCAATTTCATTTTTGACAATGTATAGCAAAAACGTCATTTTGCTATAAGTGTAGAAGTTTGGGACATTACGCCAGAATGTGTAATTTTCACAGACAACCGGACGTGAAAGTTGTTAAGGTTAAATCGAAATCCAAGTTACGTCGTGACGCAGAAAGAATGAAAAAATTCAAAGAACAGAAAGCTATGTCAATGTTTTTCTTGTGCGGAACTTAATACCATAGAACTGATGGACTTCTTTCCAACCTTAGAATATAACAAGGAATTCATAGATAACGTAAGACTCAGGCACGACCGAGTGAATTTCGAGATTGGACAATTTTAGGAAAAATACAAGAGAAGAAAACTTTTCAAACCAAAACTATCGTTACAGAGGACGCCACAACCACAGAAGAAACTTTCGGAATAATTTTAGATGAACAGTAAAACCCGGGTCGTGTCTTCAAGGGCCGCGGGAATATATGACCGGACAATTTGGACTGTGCAATGAAATTAGTTTTTAAACAACATTTATGAATTCAATTGTTTTAATGTATATTCTTGTTTTGCATTTATTTTATTATTCTGAACTTTGTCGTAAATTTAGGCATAAGTGTTTCACACGGATTATGTGTCATAATTTTGGACAAAGGACTTTAATTTATTTACTCTATTCATTTAATTATTTATTCTCTGTAACAGTTTAGACAATAATTTACTTATACGTGTCGGACATTAATTACTCTTCTAATCTATTGTTATTTCTATTTGGCATATGTTAATCTTCTTAATCCTTTAATTGGTTGTGCTTATATATATTGTTATTGTTTGTATGTTACTTGACATTTGGTTTGGAGTTTGTTGTTTGGTCTTGCCGGACTGCTAAAATAAAAGTTTAAGGAGCGAAATATTCCTTCTTAATTCCCATATAGTCGGAACGCCATTTTACCCGGCTATAAAATTACGAAACTTGAGTATTGATTTGTACGGACACCCAGTTTTTGGACCTGGATTAAGATATTTGAAACTCAATTCTATACGATTCAAAAGCTGTTGTATCACCGCTTTACAAAATAGAAATTTTGTTGGTGGAAAGTCAATCTATGAACAAATTGCTCATACGATATCTAGCAGCCGTCATATCATATTTGTTGTGACTTCTGATTTCATGTCTAAACCATTTGCCGCTTAAGAAATAGATCAAGCAAAGGAAGATAAATCGTGTCGTTCTCTCCTGAAAGTTATAATTGTTGCACTGGATATTTGCATCGAAGACACTCCAACAGATTTACGGTTAATATGGAGTGATGTCTCTGTATTTGATATGTCACAAAACAATAGTGATGATCAATTGTCTTTAGACAATATGAGAACGAGACTTCTTTTGAATTTTTGAGAATTTGGAGACCATATGAAACATCAGTTTTTTAAACAAAAGTTTCTAGCCTATTTTCATTGTTTCTAATAAAACGACGTGTATATATGCATGTGTATAATACATTTTCAAAAGATCACATCTCAAATATATTTCTAGTAAATGTTTTGGACATTCTTTTTATATCTAATATATCTTTATATTGTACAGTTTTACGGGCGCTATCATGATTTGAATGACCGCTATGGATATTAGTCTGTGTAACAGATGATCACGGATCATCTTTTCCTTGATTGTTGCATTACGAAATGCGACTGTCACCGAATTGTTACTTGCTAGAGCAATAA